CTTGTTTGTTTTTTTGTTGTATATGTATAGGCTCTCTTTCATAACCAATCCATTTCCAAATCCATTAACCAAGCGAAAATTGCATCAAAGAAGACCCTGAGGCCCTGTTTACTGCGTCCTCCTACGCTACTCCTCATCCGAGTCGCCATCGCTGGAGTAATGTGTTATCTGCGGTCGACGCACAAACGGCGCTGTTATCACTTGTCTAAAAAGTTGAATCGATCAATCAAGGCATTCAATATTCATATAGCTATTTATATTAATATCTATCAATTGAGCTGCACTCACGCAATGCGTCTGTAATGATTCAGCCATTCCTCCAGCATTTGTGCCACCAGCAGCGGACGCTTGGATAACTTTTGCTGTGCCACCAACAGACCCCCATCCGTGACACAAACGTCCAGCCATTGTCGCATCATGGCCTCCTCATTTCCCACCTGCAAATATGAAAGAGGGTCAAGTGTGTGAGGCAAGGCACCCTCGAGTTCGGCCGCAAACTCACCTCCGATTGTGTTAGAAAGTGTATGGGCAGCAGCTTCAGCTCGCAGTCCATAAGCGGCAGATAGGTGACATCCTCGGCCTCGTCGCGTCGCCCATCGATGCGCGAGAATGGCTCCATAGGCACCAGAGCGCTAAAATGGCCACGCGTGTAGCCCAGCGCAATGGGTGATTTTGTACAAAAGTTTTGTTCCCAGAATAAAGGTAGATAGACGCCTAGAAAAAGGAATGTTAAGGAATTTGAGAACTCGAATTTATAGGCATAGAGATATTAATAATATTGCAATGAGCATATAAAAGTCGTTTAATCTGATCCACGTCGACGTTTGCAGAGCCTGCGACTATGTCAATTTTAATGAGGATAACTTTAAATGCGAGGGATTCTTGAAAAACAGACCGGTCGGAGACATGGCTAGTCTTTCGGATACTGATCAAGAATATATATAATTTATCGGATCGGAGATCTTTTAATGCATTGCACATGACAAAATAAAAATGCCCTTTTTAAGGGTAAAAAAATCATATTGCCACGCACCTTCAAATCGGGCGTAGCCAATGTCCTCGCCCCGAAAGCTCTTCACGTATTTGACGCCATAGACAATAATTGGACGTCTTAGGATGTGGGCCAGGGCGAAGATGTGCAGCTGCTCCAATGACGAGCCCGGCTGACTGGCCAACGATAGCAGCGTGCTCCAGTCCTCCTCCCACTGTGAATCCTCCAAGGTAAAGTGCAGCATGGACGCCTGCAGCATTTCATACTCCTTCCAGCGGGCAAAGAAACTAAGTGAATCAAGAATAATGAACGATTTTCGTTGAAGATTGAGCTAGGTCTACTTACACATGACCGCACTGGTGCAAGGTGTCGGCCAGGGCGCGCCTGAGTATGTTGTCCCGATCGAAAACACCCCAGGTGGCCTGCATTGCCGAGTCCAGGAGGCAATCGCCGGCACTGCGATTCCACAGGACCAGCAGACGTGAGCTCAAGCGCGCGGTTATCTCTAGCGACCAGTTAAGGGCCGGCGGCGGCATCTCCAACTGTTTCTGTGCGTCGCGATCCAGTAGCTCATCGTAAAGCTGCTCCTGTATGGGTATGGGCAGCTCTTCGATCTCCGAGGGCAGCGCAAAGGTAGCATGTTTCTGGACATAGTGACAGGGCAGGCCGGATTTGCGTATGCGCAGCGTATTGGAAAAATGCCGGCGTATATCCGCTGCCAGATCGGGCGCCACATACGAGGGTACACGCTTTATGCCCGGCCCAGAGCCAGAGATCTGTGCCAACAGCATCGGCAGCATTTCCTCGCGATGAAAACGTATGGCCAGATGGATGAGCGTGTGGCCCACATCGAAAGCCGAATTACGATTCAATGCGGCAATCTCATTGCTGGTCAAGGAACGCGCCGGATTGCCGCCGCACGACAGATACGCCTCCACGGCGCTGTAATTGTTCTCCACAACGCCCAGGCATGCGTTCAACCACTGCCAGTCGACCTGGCGCCTGATCTGACGCTGACGACGCTCCTGCCGTTCCTGCAGCGTATCACAGTTGTTGATGGTTTCCGAAGAACCTGTTGCGGACAGAAAAACCGGGAAATATTAAACTGAATTTTCGACCCACACAACACATGCCAACTATCCGATTCGGCTGAGTCGGAGATATGCAGGAAAATTATGGATTCGGCTGTTGATATAAGCCAAGTGTATATATATACTCTTCAGGTTAGGAGAGGTCTCCTTTTGTGCTGTTATACATTGAGTAAGAGCTAGAGTTTTGCCCATCAAGCTGATACCTACCTAGTTGGTAAATATGCTTCTTATTGAACGAATTGTTGACACTGACGGTGTCCGAGTTCTGCTGCTGTTGCTGCTGCTCCTCCTGCTGCTGGTTCAACTGCTTGTTGCTGCCGGATATGCTGCTGGCGCAGGCATGCAGATCACACTGTGATCCCGAGCCGGTCAGCTCTCGCGTTTTGCCGCACATGGAGCACTTCAGACTCTTGGGCCAGTTCTCGTAGGTGCACGACTGCGATACAAAGCACATTATGTCAAATATATTACTAGAATTATTGGAGAAGCGCTCGCCACTCACATTGCAGGCCCATTTTGCCACGTAGCAGTGCTTCTGCTGCAGCGCAACGGACGAGGTCGAGTTCTGCTGCTGCTGCTGCTGCGGTTGGTTTGACAACTGTTGTTGCGGCTGTGACGGCGACTGCGACTGCGACTGCTGCTGGCTGTGAGATGTGTTCGCTAAATTATTGAGATGCGTTGAATTGCTGCAGATTTGCGGATCCATGCTGGGACTGGGATTGCGACGATTCGAGTTGGATGCAGCAGCGAAAATTAGCTGCCTGCTGCTGCTATTCTCCGTGGCATTTAGTTCCGTATCGGAGCCGCTAATGCGCAACGCTTGCAGCGCCTCGCCCGCACTGTTCGTCTCCTTGTCCGTAGCCTGTTCCATTGCCGCGCCGCCGCGCTTGGTGCAGCATTGCACGCAGCGCAGGCTGCGCGGCCAGTTGAGATAGGTGCACACCTTGCATGGCCATTTCTCGCTGTCAGCTACGTTGCTGTGCCGCGCCAGCTGCTGCTGCTGCTGTTGCTGCTGCTGGGGATGGGGCTGCTGCTGCTGCTGCTGAGGCTGAGGCTGGCGCGCAAAGCATGTGGATGTGGGCTCGACGGGCAGACCAGCTGCCGCCTCCTCCGCGCTGTAGTTGTCGTGTATGGTCTGCGCTGGACTGAGACTGAAACAGATGTCAACACAGATTTTGACTACCAGTTGCTCATATGTTAAATGTCAAGGCTTACCGAAAGATATCCTCGTTAAGCAACGGCTTGGATGCCTGGCACATTGTGCATTTTAGGGAGGATGGGTAGTTCTCATAGGTGCATATTTCACATTTCCATTTCTGCGCCTTGTCGCTGGTATCGCACATCTTTTGCGCGACAACAAAGTAGCTTTAGCTGGTTACGGTTCCGACTTCCACTTTCAACGGGCTCTTCTCTCTCTCTCTCTCTCTCTCTCTCTCTCTCTCTCTCTCTCTCTCTCTCTATCCGGGCGCCTTTCGTTCAGCCACAAAACTGTCGACTTGGACGGTCAACTGTTGTTGTAAATAAAATAGAATAAAATATATAGAACATTAACACACACGCACACACACATATATACACATAGATATACATATATATATATATACGCTTTGAGCTTAAAACATGGCCTTGAACCCCAACCCTCAGCAGCATGTGCAGAGATATGCACAGAGTGCAACAGACCAGATATTAACAAATCGGTCGATGATTTGAACTTTTTTTTATTGAACTGCTGTGGGTATTATAAATGTATCCCTCGATGTGTCATGATTTAAACAGAACCTCGCCATAGAGAATATTCACCGATTCAATTCTTTATAATACATGGCACTATATTCAATATCATAATTAAGTTCCTTTATAAAAAACTTTTTTGTTATTCAAGATATATTGAAAATACATGGCATTAACGCATGCCAACAGATGAGCCAAATCTCTTACAAACATTGGCCAACAACATTAGCTCTATAGTCGGTCGAAAATTCAGTAATATTTTTAAGTTTTGTCAACTTTGAACTTCACTATTCTTATCACATATGTGCAAAACCGAAAGCCATATGTCTTACAAGGCCTAAGAAATCCGATTTTTTTTGGTTAGTTTTTCACTTTTGTTCGGTGGTTTGATGCAAAAAACTCAGTAAGTGAGTAATTATGAAAACACTACAGAATTATATCGCACATGTGGTTTATGTGTGCAAGGGTATTTAATCTTCGGCAGCCTCAAAATAACTCTATCTTTCTTGTTTTCCACTGTGTCGTCACAGGCAGCCTTCGGGCGCTGCGCTGCCTGCAATTGTTTATAGCCAGTGTGGGTTAAGGTGGATTGGGGGTGTTGGGTAGGGGTTGATGGGTTTGGATGTAAATAGTTTCGCGCTAGTTTTTTTTTTCTGTCATATTCTTCTTCTGTCTTATTGGTACCTGGCGCAAATAATACAAGGCCAATTCAGGGGAGACGACGCGATTTATATATATATATATAACACAACAGCGAAAATTGATGTCAGCCACGAGCAGCGCTCATACCGTGTGAATATTGGCTCAAAAAATGGCAGAAAGACCAGCCAAGAAAAAAAAACAATTACAATTACAAAACAAAGGCGAGAAAACTTTCACTCGTTGAGGCTATTTTTTTTGTATTTTTTTTAGATTGGGGACAAAACAACAAATTTGGTTGCACTTGCCCTTGCTAGACTGTGGCTGGGCGCACAGTCTGTTTATTTGCGAGCACAAACACAGCACAATTTGGAAATTTGGAATTTTAATTAAACGTCGTAGCGTAGCTGTTGTGTTACATATTAATTAAACGTCGAAATTTTTTTTTTATTTATCGTCACATCATCTATCAGCTGCTGCTTGCGAAACTTACCAATACTTATCGATAACAGCGACAGCCGATTGTAAACAGCTGCAACTCTGGCTCCAGCACAACAAGAAAAAATGGCGGGTACGCGTTTTGTACTACGCATAAACTACATTGTGTTTTTTTAATTTTTATAAGTAAAACAAACGTGTAAATAAGCATTTTGAGGCAAAATGGTAAAAGCAATTCAAAGAAAACTGCGCAATATGTCGGCCGCAAGTAGAACTGAAGCTACAAAAAACACACGACGCTTGGTAACAGGCAATACAAAAATAAACATAAAAGCTAAAGCAGATGCGACAACAATAAAGCCGCTGCCAAGGCTTAACAATAAAGAATTAAGAAAGAAAATAAATCAAGTAAATTGTGTGCGCAAGTGTTATGTTAGACTTAAACGCCTTAAATTACCAACAAACAACGCTGCGGCGCAGAAGTGCGATGTAAATAATGCGGCGCCAATGAACATTGATAACTTGGACGATGTTAGCGTATTTGAGCCTGGTCGAAACTCCACCATGTGCCAGTCTAGAGTCCAGGACATAGGTAAGCGGCTTTTAAGTCAAGTACAATATGCGTCTAAATACATGCTCTTAGGTGCCACCATATCGCCCTGTCGCGTTCGCATCAGGCGCGCCGTAGAGAAGCAGCCAGAAACAGCCGAAAAGGCGCAGGAAAACGTGACAGCATCGAAGCGCGTGCATCGCTTTTTTCACCGAGATCAGCCGCCAGCCCGAACCCGTTCCTCTGTCACACGACACGTCTATGAGTTTCTTTCCCAGTCACAAATCGAGGACAACGAAGCGCAGGATCCGGCGGCGGACATAATCAAACAAATGGTCGAAGACGGACGAGCATGTATGATGGTCCGCCACAAGGGCAAGACGCGTAAGCGGCAGGTCAAGAAAAAGGTTCGACCAGTGGGCAAGCGCAAGCAATGCTCCGTACGCAACATAGCTGACAAGCAGCCAAACATGCCAAGCAACAACAAGGCGCCTGGACGGCAATTAACGCCCGTTATCGAGCTGGATGGCGATTCAAGTGATGACAATATGGAGGCTGTGCACGTTGAGGTGCCCGCCCAGATACATACGCCGCCAGCTAAACTGGCTGCAATCGCAAATCGAACTAATATCGAGGGCGCCTACAGCCCGTTGGCGCGTTCGCTGATGCTGAATCAAACCAAGGCGCATCACCAGCCGCAGCAATCCATGGAAAGGCGACGAGAGCTCTTGAATATGGCCAAGAAATTCGTCAGCACACCACTGAATCGCAAGAGCAACACCGCCACGAGTGTAAATACAACAACATTTTCCCCAATTTTAGATAATGCCGGCAGTAGACGCATGTCGCTGGCAACTACAGCTGGGAGTCTTAGAGCTGGCTGCTCGCCCGGCAATAAAGACAGTTCGCCGGCAGCTTCAGCTGTTGGTCTCAGTGCTGGATGCTCTTCCGGCAGGCGACACATGTCGTTAGCAGCTCCAGCTGGTAGTACCAGCGGTGGCTGTTCGCCTTGGCGTGTTTCCGACGAGGTGCCCCTGCCAAATACATTCGCATTCGGCTTAAATACATCAAATTTGCCATCGTATTCCAGTGATTTTATACGCAGTCGTCATATCTATGTGCCAGACGAGCCCGAGCCGGCGGAGTCTATTTGTCCAGCTCCCAACGAACAGGAAAGTAGCTCCGCTAGCAACGACTCGAATGGCGAAAATATGCCGCCTCCAGCAGCAGCAGTCGCGCAGGCGACGCCTATTAAACCGAGCGAGGACCAAGAGAACGAAAATATGGAGAACTATGTGCAATTACCAAATCCGCGACGCACGCTACAGCATCGCAGTCCTTTAAAGGACATCAATATATTGGAAGTGGTCGTTCTGCCTTCGTGGAAGAAAAATGCGCAACCAGAAAAGACGCCCACAAAGGTGTCCACGGCCAGACATCAGGACAATGTAGCCATCAGCAGCCCCAGACAGCAGAACACGAGGGCTCAGCGGCCGGAGCAGTCATCCTCTAATCTCTTTGGCTTTGAGGATTTTATCGACGCGGAAGATGAGGAAAATGCGAATATTCGTGCAGCTAGCCAAAATGTCACGTTGCACGAGAAGCTGCAACGGCTAAAAGGTCTGCGGCCCGCAGAAAAGGAGCTGCCGCAGATAAACAGGGAACCGCTGCGACATGCCTACGATGATCTGCAATCGCGTGAGCCCAAACAGCGCAACATCAAGGAGATGCTGTGCTCCACCATGATTGCCGCGCCGGCACGCGCTCTGAGTACGGAAGAGTCAATAGCGTTATTTAAAGACAACGACCCAGAGGCAACATTTGATGAAAAGGTGAGTTGTAGAATTTGAAAGCTCGTTGGAGCAGACTCCCAGGCTACTGTATCCTAATCTCGCGCTCGACAAGGCGACGACATTGTCCAGAATCGTAAATGTCATCGTTTATTGTCACTGCGCTAAATTAATTCCAAATCGAAAACGTTATTTATTTCGATTGAGCCAACAGGGCCGCAAAGATTAAAGCCCATCTTTATGCGGTAGTAAGCAGCTCGCACAAATTTAAACTAGTCGCAAAATAACTCCAATTACCAAGCTAATAATAACTATTTTAATCTTCAACCAGCAACCACGACGCACCTATGTACGGGAGCGGCCGAAGCGGAAGCGCAAGCAGCGCGTTCATGTGCTCTTCGTTGACACTGATTCGTCGGATGAGGAGGAGGAGAATGAGCAGGACTCCAAGGACAAGAGTGACGAATCACCAAGAAAGGCGATGCCACCGCAAAAGCGCACACGCAAGGATATGGAGCACGAGGCCAAGCTGCAGCAGTTCATCACGAGTTTCAATCAGGAATGTGCAGAGGTCGAAAGATTTCCAATGATCGTTGAATAGTCACGCCCAAAACTTTGGCGTTAATTTCATTTGTTTTCCTTATTATTATTATTATTTTTTTTTTGGTAATACTGTCTTCTAAAACTTGGTCATTAACTTGAAGTTAAGTGCGATTAAAAATGGAATTCCGATTAAGTATTTTTAAATCGTTTCATTAAGCTACAAATACAAAATATTCATAGCCATAAGTACAAAGAGGGCGGGATGTATATTTAGTTAGTCCGGGTACTTATTCTGTCAAATAAGTACCCGGAAATTTGAAATAAAACACAAACAACTTGTCAATCATCTAAATTGATTATATCCCCTTCAAAATAGTCCCCTTCTGAGGCAATACACTTCTTCCAACGAACAATCCAATCATCGAAACACTTTTTATAACTATATTCCGGGATGGCCTTCAGTTCTCGTTGCGAATTAGTTTTGATGTCTTCAATGCACTCAAAATGGGTTCCACGAAGTGATAATTTGAGTTTTGGAAATAGGAAAAAGTCACACGGGGCCAAATCTGGAGAGTACGTTGGTTGTTCGATGATATTTGTTGAATTTTTGTTCAAAAACTCGTTCACAATGATCGCTTTGTGCGCTGCTGCATTATCGTGGTGCAATATCCAACTGTTGTTCCGCCACAAATCTGATCTTTTGATAATATTCTTTATTGACGGTTTGGCCTTCCGGTAAGAATTCCGAATGAACAACACCACGAATATCGAAGAAAACGGTCAGCATCAACTTGATTTTCAAATTGCTTTGGCGCGGTTTTTTCGGCTGTTTCGATTTCGGCTCATTTTTGGCGCGCCATTCCGATGATTGTTGACTTGTTTGCATGTCGAAAATCCATGTCTTGGATCGGAATTGACGCGTTCAAGCATGTCTTCAGCCACCTTAGTGCGATTCACTTTTTGAAGAAAATTCAGATCTTTTGGCACCAATCGCGCCGCGACTTTCCGCATACCCAAAACATCAACTAAAATATGACGAGCGGTCTCATGCGACATGTTCATTTCTTGGGCTATCTCTCGCAAACTATAATGATGATTTTCGAGCACCATTTCCTTTAGTTTGTCGACGTTTTCTTCAGTTGAAGAGGTCGTAGGCCGTCCTGAACGCGGCAAATCGTTCACTTCTTCTCGCCCCTCTTTGAACGATTTATACCAATCGTAAACTTGAGTTTTCGACATGGTTGAATCACCAAATGCTTTTTTCAACATTTCCAACGTTTTGGCACAAGACATTTCGTTTGAAACACAAAATTTCACACAAACTCTTTGTTCGATATTTTTATCCATAGTAAAAATCGCAACGCACACAAAAGGTTGACTTCTTCCTTTTTGAAATATTCTCAGAGGGAAAATTTAAAATGAGAATTTCCGGGTACTTATTTGACAGAATGTATAAATAATATATAATATACAATATATATAATAATGCAGAATTTATTTCTTGATAATAATAAAAGTATCCCCTTTCTTATTATCGAGCGGCCGCAGCAAGCATAAAATTCTAACCATACAGGGTATTAACAGACCGATTATTTTTCATTGCTCACATTTGTCCTGTTAAGTGGCAGCACTGGCCAAACAGCTGTGCCAGCCACAGTGGCAACACCGCGGCACAAGCAAACAAACTTTAAAACTTATTTTAAAACGAAATATTACAATGGATCCACCGTACGCGCCTTTAAGTGAGTCCTGTGCCAAGGCGCTGGGCGACAAAATGTACGACAAGCGAAAAGTGGCCTCCCACGAGATTGAGAAGTAAATAATCAGTGAATACGCCCCTCCAATAGAACTCAAACCAAAAACAAATACATATTTTTATTCCTTACACACAGAATGGTCATTGAGTTTAATGATAAAAATAATGCGACACAAATACGAAAGCTGATCGAGGTACTCTCCAACGACTATGCCACATCACGCGATGCCAATCGCCGCAAGGGTGCGCTCATCGGGCTAGCCGCAACGGGCTTAGGGCTGGGCAAAGTAAGCAATTGCTCATCTATTAGTCATTGTTATACCCTTCTAGGAGGTATTATGAATTTGTCCCTCGGCGTGTAATCTATCGAAACAAAAGTCAAAGTATTTACTATATGCGTGATTCAGTTTTAACAGTCGGACCACTAATTAATAAAAAGATGCTTTAACCGGCAGTTGGCAACGCTGATGACTAAGTGTTGCCAACTGCCGCTCGAAGCATCTTGCCGAAAACCAATTGGCAAGCAAACAAAATGGCTAGGTCCGTTAAAAATATTAACTGTTTCCGGCTGATGGGCTGTGAAAATAGCTACATAACTAAGCTAGAAAGTAGCTCGATTGGCAACACTGGCCACTGCCATGGGAACAATCAGCGCAAAATGGAGTTTTTATATAAAAAACTTTATTTTCCAGGATATTATAACTAAACTTCACTAAGCTATTAACTTGAAAAATATTTAAATCGAAATACTATATTGTAATTCCCAAGAGCATACAAATCTCCTTGATGTCTGCAAGGGTATTTAATCTTCGGCTACAAGTTGAATATTAATGTGTAATATATTTTGCATAGGATTCGGATAAATATGTCAACGAGCTGGTGACGCCCATTATGAACTGCCTGTCTGATCCGGATTTGCGTGTGCGTTACTTTGCCTGCGAATCATTGTACAATGTGGTTAAGGTGGCGCGGGCGGCCATTATACCCTTCTTTCCGGAGCTCTTTGCGGCTCTGTCGCGTCTGGTCACCGACTCCGATCAAATGGTGAAGGACGGCAGCGAGCTGCTGGATCGTTTGCTAAAGGTTTGTCGTACCCGACATTGTATATATTATATTTTAATATACATGTGTTTATTTGCCTGCAGGACATTGTCACTGAATCGTATGAGACCTTCAATCTGGAGGCCTTTATACCCTTGCTCAGGGAGCGCATGTATGTGAATAATGCCTTTGCGCGCCAATATGTCATCTCGTGGATCTCAATTTTGAATGCTGTGCCCGATATAAATATGGTCAAATATCTGACGGATATTCTCGATGGCCTCTTTGTCATGCTGGAGGATAATACGCCGGAGACTCAGCGCATGTGCGAGAATACAATCAGTCAGTTCTTGAAGTCCATACGCAACGATTCCTCCTCGGTGCGCATGGAGGATACCATCAACACGCTAATCACACACGCGCAATCCCTGAACGAGCTTATCAAGTCGATAGCCATCACCTGGATACGGGAATTTGTGCAAATATTTGGACCCAATGTATTGCCCTATGCTAGCGGCATATTTACGGCCATTCTGCCATGCCTGGAGTGCAATGTGGAGTCCAAGCGCAGTGGGTGGACTAAGGCTTATTCCAAATCCAGTTATTAAAGTGATTCCTCTTTTCAGGCATCAAGGAATGTGCCGTATCGGTGAACAACTCCATGATGCAACTGGTTTCGTCGAAGGAACTGAAAACCCAAAATGTGGCCAAAATTGATTTGCGTTCCATTATGGAGGTACTCTCGCAGTACCTCACGCACAACTCCACGCACACAAAGATTGCCGTATTGAAATGGATACATCATTTGTTTACCAACTTTCCCAACGAGATGTCACTGCATGCCAACAATCTGAACAACAATCTGTTGGCCACGCTCTCGGACAACTCGGATGAGGTGGTGCTCCAAAGCTTGTGTGTACTGGCCGAGATTATCAACTCGCAGGATACAAAGGGTGGGCACAGTTGGGACTAGGCCCATTGCAGATACATATTTATAATTTGTTTTGAATTCTCCAGATCTCGATGATTTTAACAAGCCGCATTATCGCAAGTTTTTGCTGAGCCTGCTAAATCTCTTTAGCGAGGAGAAGGTGATACTGGAAACCAGAGCCAGTCTAATTATAAGGTAGACAGCCTGATCCATTATAATAAGTTGATGTTAACTCGATTTTCTTTGTTAGGCAACTTTGTGTACTCCTCAATGCAGAGTATATCTATCGCACCTTTGCCGAGATCATAGCCGAGGAAGTGCCGAATCTAAAGTTTGCCTCGACTGTTGTGCGGCTGCTGAACAACATCTTGCTTACGTCCACGGAGCTGTTTGAGCTGCGTACCAGCCTGCGTGACATATCCAATGAGAAGTCCGCGGATCTATTTCAATGCCTTTACAAGAGCTGGGCCCACTGTCCAGTGTCCACGCTGTCGCTTTGTCTAATCGCCCAGTGCTATCAGCATGTCTCCGAGCTAGTTATTCTATTGTACGTGCCAATCTGTTCCCTTTGTTCGATCGTAGCTAATGCCTTAACTTTCAGCGCTGATGTGGAAATAACGCTGGAATTGCTGGTCGAACTGGATAAGCTGGTGCAGCTCATTGAGTCGCCCATCTTTGCTGCACTGCGTCTCACGCTGGTGTCCAAATCAAATAACTGTGCTGATGCCCAGTATTTGGCACATGCGCTCTTTGGCATTCTCATGCTTTTGCCGCAAACCCTGGCCTTTGATACGCTCCGAAATCGCCTGCAATGTGTGCCCAACTATTGGGGCCAGCAGCCCATGTGAGACACCTTTACGCCTTTACTCTCTTATCATAATAATATTGTATATCTCTTTGCAGAGATGAGCGCAAATCCGTTGAGTACAGGAGCGGCATTGACTTTGCTGCACTTCGCGCCCATTTCGTCGAGCGGCAGAAGACGCATCGCGCCCAGCGCATAATCCAGCGCAAACGTAGTGTAATTACGCCGGACAGTAATTAATATTATATTTAAACAATTATATTATATCTGTGATTAAGCTAACATTAGGCATAAAGCGTAATTTTTATTGCAAGATTGATGTACATCATGTCTAGAAATTTTTAACGCCTAGCCTTAACAAGTTAGTTTACAATTTGGAAAACAGCTCGCAGAGTGAGGAACACATAGAACGGCTTTTATTGGCAAGTCGAAGATGCAATAGCCCATTTCCATTAGCTACATAATATATAGTTATTCCATCCGGCCAGCTCCAACTATTGTACTGCCTGCACTAGAAAGGCGGAGCTAAGCTTAGTTTCATGTTGGTATCCTCTGAGAAAAGTTAGCATGGAGCCTAATCGACTCCGCCTTAGATACTGATCAAGATTCAACATATATATACAATATGTTTTACATATCAGAACAATATTATATTACAAGGGTTCTACGAAATTGTCTAGCTAAAGAACTGTCAACAGGAATCTCATCGTTCCCTCAATCTCAATCATTCCCAAATTGTGAAGTCTTTTAAATCTTTTAATCTGTTGATTTCTCGACATTTGAAAGATCGGGCATAAACTTTGCTTTTGCAGCAATATTCTTTCAGATAATTTGTTCTAGCTAAAGGATTGATTTATTTACTTTTTTTTTATTTTTAAATTTGTTCCTATCTTTTCCATAGTAAACTGTCGTAGTGATATATTGAACAAAAGTGAATATAATTATTTCTTTAGGGCGCCCATGCGACTGGCATCCTGGCTGGGATAGGGCATTTGGCCAGGAGGCGGTGGAATGGCATCGAGATTCACACCGGAGGTACTTGCGGCTGTTGAACTAGAACCAGAGGCAGCTCCACTGCTGCCAGCCACGCCCAGGCCACTGTAGGGCGCTGCGTACGTGGGTTGAGCGTACATCTGGTATGCGGAGGCAGGCACCAGATTGGAGGGCAGCTGATGCAGCTTCATGCCGGCGGGCATAACGTTGATTTGCTCCTGGCGCAGATTAAAGTAGTCGTTGGGCTTGGAGCTGGGCGGCGGTATGCCGGCGACATCAAAGCGTCGATCCGTCTTTGCGGCGGTGCCCTGTTTCGCCTGCGAGTGCGCCCACTTGATGCTGACCTTCCGGCCGTGCATCACCAGTTTGTTGAATGTGCGCTCGGCCGCCAACTCGGCGGCGCTGCGTTTTGTGTACTGCACAAAGGAGCACTGCTGGCGCGGCACCAGGGCAATGGAACGTATCTCGCCATACTGATAGAATTGGTCACGTATTTCCGGCTCGGTAATCTCTTCCGGCAAATTGCCCACATACAGTGTGGTTATGTTGCGATCCTCGGGCGGCTCCAGTGTGGGCAATGATGCGGCACGTTTCATTATCTTCTCGGCCACCGGATCGTTGCGACCGTAGTAGCGATCCTTGATATTTTGCTCGCACAGCGGATCGTCAGGTTCGTTGGGCTTGTCGTGGCGATAGGGACACTCCTCGCCACGCTTGCACTCGCCCTTCACCCAGAAGGAGCAGATGTGCGGCCTGTTCCTTTTATAGTACGGCGCCGTGCGCGCCAATTTGGACAGCATTTCGTTGGCCGCCAGGGAGCGACCCACCGCGCCGGCCGCCTCGGTACCATCACCGTCCTGGAGTTGGGCGTCAATGTTCTGTATGTAGTACTCCTTGTTGACATCGCTTTGGGGCATATTGTCGGCCACTTTTAGTGCCGCGTCGCGCACCTGGATGGGCAGGCCGTACTCCAGATCCAACAGGCATGTTTGGCACACATTCTTTAGGCGGGCACACGTCTGGCAGACTTCAGTTTTCTTAAAGCGCATCCGAGCACCGGGACACCAGCGGAATATGGTGAATGGCCGCGTGCAGATTTTGCATTCCTTGCCGAAGCGCTCTTTAATCATGCGCACGTACGGGTTATCGCCCAGGCACGTCTGGCAGAGAATTGGGAATTCGGCATCCTCCCAATTTTGCCGGTTGTACGTATTTGTCGTCTTTGACATAGACATCGCTACGTCTCAATTATTTTTGTTACTTTAATAAAAAAAATTACAATGCAGAATATAAAAAAACTTATCGGAACATGTTCGATTTAACGATTCACCAGCGATATATCGTTTTTTTCCCAGTATTTTTTGGTATTTTCTTGACTTGATCTGGTAGCCCTGGGCCAAGTGCCAATGCTCAATCCTATTATTTTTTGATTTAAGCAACGCAATCATATTTTGTTTTTACAAGCCACAATATAGCAAAGCCGACTTTTGGCAATCTGAGGTGAATAAAGAATACAAATTCTTTAAAGCCACAAAAAAAAAGTCTTGGACTCTACACATCGATACCTTTATAAAAATTACGCCAAATATACAAAATAATGGTATTGTTGCAGTTTTGCGCCGTCAGTTAGTAATTAAATCGATCATGGAGGCAAGGCTTTAGGTGAAATTTAAGCTATGTGGCAATGCTAAATTTGCGACTTTAACGTCTTGCATGCTCATAATTAGCAGTTAATTCAAGAGAATTGTTGTTGTGTACACCGATTAGAGATGAGCGATATTTATGTTTTAAATTTATAAAATATACGATGTTGAGTTGTATCGCAAATGTGCATTGTGCATTTATCGATTCGAACCATGTGGCAACGCTCAATTGGCGAAAACGTTTGGTTGCAAAGAAAACGTAAACAAAAACAAAGATTTTGTTGATGAAATTGAATAAATATGGGACCACCAATTAAGCGTTACAGACGTACCTCAAGGTCATCCGATGAAGACGAGAAGGATGACAGTTATGTGCCCTATGTGCCGGTCAAGGAGCGCAAGAAGCAGCATTTAATGAAGCTGGGCCGCATCGTTCAGCTGGCAACGGAGACAACACAGCCAAAGTCTTCCAGTGAGAATGAAAACGATGATGATGCACAAGGCGCCCAGGATGCGGAGACCTGGGGCCGCAAATACAACATCAGTTTGCTGGACCAGCACACAGAGCTGAAGAAAATCGCCGAGGCTAAGAAATTGAGCGCCGTCGAGAAACAGCTGCGCGAGGAGGAGAAAATTATGGAGAGCATTGCGCAGCAGAAGGCGCTGATGGGCGTCGCGGAGCTGGCCAAGGGCATACAGTACGAGGAACCCATTAAGACATCCTGGCGCCCACCACGCTATATAGAAGCTATGCCGGAGGAGGAGCGGCAAGCAATACGAAACCAGCTGAGAATCTTGACTGAGGGCGAGAATCTCAGTCCGCCCATACGTAGTTTTCGAGAGATGAAGTTCCACAAGGCCATACTCAACGGCCTGGCCGCCAAGGGCATCAAGAAGCCAACGCCCATACAAGTGCAGGGCCTGCCCACGGTGCTGGCTGGCCGGGATCTCATTGGCATTGCGTTCACTGGCTCCGGCAAGACGTTGGTCTTTGTGCTGCCCATTGTGATGTTTTCCCTCGAGCAGGAGTTCCGATTGCCCTTTGAACGCAACGAAGGTCCGTATGGCCTTATTATATGCCCGTCCCGCGAGCTGGCCAAGCAGACGCACGAGATCATCCAGCACTACAGCAAACATCTGCAGTTGTGCGGCATGCCGGAGATTCGCTCCTGCCTGGCAATTGGCGGACTGCCGGTCAGCGAGGCGCTCGAGGTGATATCGCGCGGCGTGCACATTGTGGTGGCCACACCCGGCCGACTGATGGATATGCTGGACAAGAAGATATTGACGCTGGACATGTGCCGTTATCTGTGCATGGACGAGGCGGATCGCATGATTGACATGGGCTTCGAGGAGGATGTGCGCACCATATTCTCCTTCTTCAAGGGTCAGCGCCAGACGTTACTCTTCTCGGCCACCATGCCAAAGAAGATTCAAAACTTTGCGGTCTCCGCCCTCGTCAAGCCCGTGACCATAAATGTGGGACGAGCGGGCGCTGCGTCCATGAATGTCACACAGCAAGTCGAATATGTGAAGCAGGAGGCAAAGGTGGTCTACCTGCTGGACTGTCTGCAGAAGACGGCGCCGCCAGTGCTCATTTTCGCCGAAAAGAAGCAGGATGTGGACTGCATACACGAGTATCTGCTACTCAAGGGCGTCGAGGCGGTGGCCATACATGGCGGCAAGGATCAGGAGGAGCGTTCGCGTGCCGTCGACGCTTACCGTGTGGGCAAAAAGGATGTGCTCGTTGCCACAGACGTGGCCTCCAAGGGTCTCGATTTCCCCAACGTGCAGCATGTCATCAACTACGATATGCCCGATGACATTGAGAACTACGTGCATCGCATCGGTCGTACGGGTCGCTCGAATACCAAGGGTCTGGCCACGACGATGATTAACAAGATTACCGAACAATCCGTGCTGATGGACTTGAAGCACCTGCTGCTCGAGGGCAAGCAGGAGGTGCCCGATTTCTTGGAAGAGCTGGCGCCCGAGGCTGAACACCAGCATCTCGATCTGGGCGACTCGCACGGCTGCAGCTACTGCGGCGGTCTGGGCCATCGCATTACCGAGTGCCCCAAGCTGGAGGCGGTGCAAAGCAAACAGGCCTCCAATATTGGACGGCGCGACTATTTGTCTAACACGGCTGCCGATTACTAGATTTACGTTTACACTATTTTACAAAATAAACAAGACAAATGTGCAAAACATGTCGTAAACTTTTTTAATGAGAGCTTAAATCCTTCAATATTGAATTTTGGATGTTTTTTTAGTAAGCATAAATAATTAAATATATTTACAAAGCAAAGCTCTTAATCTTAGGGAACTCGAATTTGTATTTTTGGATAAGTCTATAAATAATATCCAGCCAAGTTGAGTAAGATTTAAAAACTTCTTTTTATCATATGTGAAAAGTTTTTTAATTAATTTACAAAGCTAATATTTTAAAAAAAACTAAAAAATTAATATTTTTAATTCGCAATAATTTGTTGCATAGTGTTTTAAGGCTTACCTAGACTTTGGCTCGCTGAGTAAAAAGCTGGGAATTCTCTGGCTGTAAATCAGTGACCTTTAACCTGGTTTCCTGGAAAGCTTCAATTGTGTTTTTCATTTGTTTACAGTTTGTTTTTGCATAGGTACTTTTTGTATGCGGCGCTCGCTTATCGGCCGAGCTGCGTCTTATCAATCAGCTACGTTCAGCCGCACTGCAAGAGAGAGAGAGAGAGAGAGAGAGAGAGAGAGAGAGAGAGAGAGAGAGAGAGAGAGAGGGAGAGAGAGAAACAGAGCGCGAGTTGAAGTCAGCTTTGAGCGGCCTTTTATAAAGTCGACGACAATCGTTGAGTTTCGTTCAGTGTCTCAAGCTGCGTTGCTTCGATCACTACACGCATCCCGAGTTCGTTTAGTCGCTCCCAAAGCCTGGAAGCGGTCAGTTCATTGCAGTGAAGAAAAGCGTAAGTGCTTTATTTGCATACTCTGTGTGTGTGTTTGTGTGTGTGTATTTGTATTTGCTGTGTGTATTTTTTAAATCAAGAGTGCAGCTGTCATCGAATACGTAAGCCCAAAATGTGTGATGTTTACAATTGAAATAGATATGATTGAAAGCAATTAGAAACGATATCATTGAAAAGCACTATAAAGCTATTGATAACCTTTGATTGTGCGTAGTAAAATCGAAGAATTGCTCAATTATAAACTGCGTTAGGCTCTACAGTGTGCATATAGTATAAAGTATAGTATGTTATAGTACATGCAGTCAATCAATTTGATTGGGCTTATCAATTGTTTTGAGCTTAGCTTATCTTGGGTTAAAACCTTCGGGCTAGCCTTTGATAGACATGTCTATAGTAGGTATATTTTGCCTTTTAGTAATCCATATAAACAGGATTACTAAAAGTGTTGTCACTTGCATGTAAAATATGATTTTTTAACAATTTATCGGGATTGTTTGCGTTTTATAGATTTAAATCTTAGCATATAAATATATATGTAGGACTTAGATAAACAGTTCCTTTTACAATCAGGGCCGCAAACCATTAAAAAACTTCCGATGGTTCGGTTCACGGCTCGAACCAGAGGCTGGAACTTGGTTTCGTTCAGTTTTCCACATTCTTGAACCCAGGTTCAAGACGTTTTATTTAATTTAAATAAATTTAATTATTTGATGACACGCAATTAACATCTCACAAAAGGAAATGGTTAGAAAATATCACAAATAGTATTTAATTTAATAAAAAACATTTTTGGAGGGAACTGAGCTGAAGTTATAAACAAATTTTAAGTTTATTTTCGTATAAATTTAGATAAAACATAGTTTCCAGTTTTAGCAATACTTTAAATAACAAGACAATTTTTAGCTAATTAGCCTTATATATACGCTCATCTATGTACAGAGATAAAAGGAAGTGATATTGTTTGCTAATTATTGTTATTGTTGTTGTTTTTTTTTTTTAACACATTTTTAATGACATATTAAAACGCAGTTGTTCTTATCTCTCCTTATATATTCAAGTAAATATTTATTTATGAGTTAACAAGTTTTTATTCACTATTCCTAATGAGATTTTAAACATGAAATTTTGGTGAATTCTGCTTCCACTCCAACAATTGTGATGAACGATGATCTATGTAGAAGGTGACGTTATGCCTGATAATACTTGGAATGCCAATTGGGGGAGATATTTGTTTATTATGCAAAGCACATCGTGTGTACTCTTAACATATATATACATATATATTCCAATAACGAGTCGAACTTGAAAATGGCACACACTTATCATAAATCATAAATATAGTTTTTTTTTCTTTATAATACCCGCGACCTAGTTGGGGAAAAAAAGAGAAAAGGGCTTGCCATCTCTTCAATTCGTGATATCATGCGAGTCGCAAAATGTCGTCAGACCGCAAAACTAATTACTTAAAAAGAGAAAAATACAATGCAACAATAAAAACATGCGTGACATGCTTTAATTTACAGCTTCAATGCGTGGTATAATAAAACAAAACTATATGTTATTTATCTCCTACATATATATTTTTTGTTGTCTAACTATCAACATCTTAAAATATTGAAGTGTGCCCGCTTAAATTTGAATATTTAATGCTTCTTTAAACATAAATATAAAATAAATATTTAATGTTTCTTTAAGTCTTGAATTAGCTGCTCTTGCTTGTCAATTGTTTACAATAATATTTGTTTATTGTTATTAATTAAATAATATTTATTACTGTTTTTATATTTCATTATTTACAAACTTATAAACAAGCCAAAATTTTATAATTTCATATTTTTTTAATTTTCTAATTTACAATTTAGTTTATTCAACATATTCAGAGAATTAAAAATATTGTTGTCAAAAACAAAAACTTTTTTTTATATTTTTAAAGATTTAAATACATTTTCTTTTTTAAACTACAATATTTAAACAAAAATATAGAAATATATATTTAATTTTAGTTTTGATCATTTTAATTTAATACTCTGATTCAAGCTACCTTTTATAGAAAGCATAAATTGAAAATTTGGATATTATATATGTATATATACTATATTTATATCCTGAATACAATGAAAATGAACTCATAAAGGAAAATGTTTTTGTTTTTTGTTTGGCTGCCTTTTATATTTTAATTTATCTATAAAAATAATATATATATATAGTTATGATATTTATATAATATTTCTAATATAATTATTGTTCCTTTTACAATATTATATTTTGGTATAGTTTTTAAGCATATATAAGTATATAGGAGTTATTATTACTATTTATGCAGGATATATTCTTGATATTATATATATATTATTTTTATATATATTTATTTTTTGCTGTATATATTTAATATATCTAATATATTCATTTTTTTCTTTCATTACAATATTTTAAAAACTTAAAAGTTGGGCTTATATTTATAATATAATTTATAAAAAAAATATTTATGTATTTTATTTTTATATTTATATTTATATTATTTACTTAATACTTTAAGTATATAATTTATTTTTTCCTCCTTATGTTTGCTACAATATTTGAATATCCTTATATTATTTATCATTTAATTGTTTCTTTATTATTTCTTTTGTTTGTTATAAATATTTGATTTGGCAGCTTTAAATTTCCAGTTAATATGCTCAGCTGAATTAAACTATGTTCTACAGCTCATCTATTATTTTATGCATTATTTATTATTATTAACCGTTTTATATCTTTATTATTTCCTATACATTATTGCAAAACTTAATATCAATAGATCTGAGTGCGTTTTGCCATAAAAGCAATTAATATATGTTTGAACTGGAGTAAAGTTTGTTTTTTTACGATGTTTTTATAACTTGTTGCTTCTCTTTCTCTTTTGCAGTTCACTCGCGCTCTCTCGCTCTCGCTCTCTCTCTTTGTCTCTCTCAGCGGATAATCATCTTTTTGTTTGAGTTGGGAACGATAAAAACAAAGGCGGAATACTACATAATAATAGCAACAATTCACCCGATACAACTTGTTGAACATACACACACACACACATATATATCGAGCAACAATAAACAAAGGCGCACGCCCCACCCCCCTCCACCTCCCCCTCGCAGGCCCCGCAATCGTCTACGCGTCGAAATGGCAACGCGAAGCGCCGCCCGTCATCTGGCAGTCATCTGCAGGTAATGCAAGCGAGCAGTTCACTAGCTAATAAGCTCCCGTCTTTCATAGAGTATACACAAGTGCTAATTAAATAGTGCAAATACAAATATTACTCATACGCCGCGTGTTCACAAAAAGAAAAAAGCAAACACTCTTAATTATATGCTCATAATTGTAAGTGGAAAATACGTATATATATTTTGGCAGTAGAAGACTGCCTTAAATTCTAGAAATAGTACACGAAATTCGTCCCAGGTTTTAGTGACCTTTTATGGCCATGAGTCACGGCCTTGAGGCCAGGTCAGCTGGTTGCCTGTAAAAGGCGGCAACTACTTAGTTGAATTGTCATCGCGCTTGACAATCAAAACAAGACTGAAAACTGAGCGCTGAATAATTTTGAAGCACTTTATTTACTTTGCAGCTTGGTCGTGTTTATCGCAATCTCGACAAGTCTCTGCTCGGCCGGCACACTTAACCAACGTCCCGCGTTCCCCGTCCAAACCGGTCAGGTTCAGCCCTCCAGCGTTAACAGCAAGCAGCCAGGTCGACGCGTCATGCATCCAGCCTTCGCCAATGCCGGCCGCGCTCCTGGCCTGGAGATCTGGCGCATCGAGGTAAGTGTGTCCAACAACAACAACAACAACAACAACAAAAATCAATATATTTGTGCTTAAATTGAGTACAAGCTGTTAGACAAACTTCTTATTTCGAGCACTTTCTTTAGTCCAAAAATGTCTGAATACAAGAGCCACTAAAATATTGTACTTTATGTCTGTGAAAGTGTATGCACGTCATAAATAATCAAGCATTTTCCACTCTCAAACAATATGTTTGTGCTTAAATTAAGTACTAACTGTCGGACAGCTGGACTATAAACTTCTTATTTCGAGCACTTTCTGCATACAAGAGCCGCTAAAATACTGTGCTTTATGTCCGAATTGGTACAGTCAATGTACGTCAAAAACAAGCAAGAACTTTCTTCTCAAATCAAGTACAAACTCTATTAAAAAAACTTCTTATTTCGAGCACTTTCTTTAGTCCACAAATGTCTGAATACAAGAGCCACTAAAATGCTGTACTTTA